CGCCCCCCCGGGCCGGCCCGGGCAGGGCGGGGGCTCCCGCAGGGCTGGTTTTTTTTTTTTTTTAAGATCGGGACTTGCGAAAAGAGGGACTTCTTGGGACTCCTTTGAATTGTAGCGACCTCGGAAAGGTTTTGTTTCCTGGCGAATTCCAATCGCAAACAGTCTCGTTGCTCTCCGAGTGTAGAACTCCCCAGGCATCTTCTAGCTACCGAGTCTCAGCTGCTCAAATTGTGTTATGACTAGATTCCCCCCTTTTTCCATGCCGAAAAAGTAGAGTTTTTCTGGTGTACTGTCATAACTTTCAGTTTTATTGGGTGCTAGTGTTTGGGTGGTTGTTTTTTTTTTCTTTTATTTAATTTGTAGCATGTTTTCATACTTCATAAAGAAGTTTGAGATTTAACCTATGTATTTGACTTACAGTGTTTGTGATGTTGATAACATTTTGGGCTACTTAATTTGTTACTGAGGTAGGGGTGCTAGTTTTCCTTAGATACCACTGAACTTACTCCCATACCTAAATATAGCTTAGCGAGTCTTCTGGGTCTTAAATCTGTTGAAATCATTGTAGGTAATTTCTTTCTGGAACTGGCAGTTGTTTTGTTAATACCTGTTGTGGTTACTTCCTTTTTAGGTGGCTATGGCTACAGGACAGGTGCTATTTCAGCGGTTTTTTTATACCAAGTCTTTTGTGAAGCATTCCATGGAGGTAAGAAAATATTAAAAGACGTATATGGCTACAAACATTACTTAATCCTTGATCTGTTTTGGCAAGTTGTCAAGTTAGATGTGATCAGAGTGTTGGTAACTAGCCTGTAGATTTTACTTATTGATCAACATGATGTTACAAACCTACATAGTACTGATTTCATCAAATTTTTAGTATTTCCTTGCTTTACCACCACTTTCTCTTGTTATCCCTCCTTAAGCTGTTGGAGGCGGTCAGGTCCTGATTTGAGCAAAACATCAGTGTCTTGCAATACTTATATTTCAGCATGTATCAATGGCCTGTGTTCATCTGGCATCCAAAATTGAAGAAGCACCAAGACGCATAAGGGATGTAATTAACGTGTTCCATCGCCTTAGACATCTACGGGAAAAAAAGTAAGCTTAGACTTTGAAATAATCTGAAGTATTTATGTTGTATTTTAATTATTAAACTTCATGGGCCAATGATAGTATCATTCCCTGTTTCATAAATCAGGGAACATCTTGAAGAGATCTCATGAAGGAGAAAAGTGAGTTGACCCATTTTATTAAGTAAATATTCTTGGTGTTATAAATAATGTAAGTAAATATTCTTGGTGTTATAAATAATGATGTCTCTTACTTTTACACGAACATGATTTAACTTGCGTATGAGTAGTCGTTGAGGTTAAGATTATCTTCAGAATTTGAAATTGTCTTGCAGAAAACCTGTGCCTCTAATACTGGATCAAGAATATGTGAACTTGAAGAATCAAATTATTAAGGCAGAAAGAAGAGTGTTAAAGGAGTTGGGATTTTGTGTTCATGTAAAGCACCCTCATAAGGTTTGTACTGTATAAGTTAACTTTATAATCGGTGTTTCATATGCTATAAATGCTTTGAGTAGACTGTAACTGCATGGAAGCTGTATGGTTTGTACACGATAACGTTAGTTAATTCAGTAAGGCTAGCTTCTTATGTTCCCAATGTTTTCTTTCCCATTTAAGAGAGTCTTACTAGTTGGTCTTGTATCACTGCTGAATGACGACTGGAGGTGGATGCAGATGCTAAGTATTCCTTGAAGTCAAATTATATAAGTAGTAGCTTTGGTGTTAGAAAACGTCAACTAAACATAGATTCTTAAGGAGAAAGGAATTTGGAGACCTAGGGTTGTGATATCCTATTATAAGAAACAGTGTGTCGTGATCACTCCTTGTGGAAACATGCTGAGGTTATTAAACCCCTATGAGCTAGTTAGCAGTGTTTCTCATGTTCTAAAAAGTACACTCAGGTGTGAAGGGCTTGACTAGAAATGAGACAATTCTCAATATTTAAGTATCTCATGTCAGACTAGGATGATACTTGGAGGATGTAACTGCTGCAAATGTTTAAGCTGGTGCTTTAGTACCATTAGCATTATGCCTTAAGTAGCTAAGTGTGGTAAAAGAACCTCCTACTTCTGTGCCAGCAGAACCTGGGATCTTGCTCTTTCTTCCTTTAAAAGCTACTGCTGTCTTAAGGTCTCTTTAAGCTACTTGACTTTCAGAATTCTCTCATGTTACCGGCACCCCAGAGGACAGTTGTACTTGTTTGTTAATTGTTAGGAATTTTTGCTATTAGAGTAGTCTTTTTATCTGCATCCTTGTTTTCCTTTCAAACCTAAGAGAAAAACTAGAACGGAATAAACCAGTGACACACAACATGTTAGATCTGTTCTCTGCAAATACTGTTATACTTCTGTTACTGCTTATTGCAGCTAGCAATATTTTCTCCCAAGTTACAGCTAAAAAGGAATCGTGAATTGTATAGGAGAACATACCTAGCTTGAAAACAGTTGAAGACAAGACATCTAGATGAATAGCATGATGACTGAGCTCAGAAGACGGAGAGCTAGGAAGGTCAGATCTGGTTGAGTGTCAACTTGTGCAAACTTTTGCATTGGAGAGCAGAAGCTGTGTGGATAAACACTGGGGATGTTGCAAACACTCTCGCATCGCATGTGGAGTGTTTTAGAACTTGAAAGAGAATGACAGATGCCTCATGGATGTCCCTCTGAAATAAATAGGTGGCTCTCGAGATTCTTGTTAATAACTCAATAACCCATATCTTCCAGATAATCGTTATGTACCTTCAGGTATTAGAATGTGAACGTAACCAACACCTGGTCCAGACTTCATGGTAAGTTGATTTTCTTTGTTTTAAGAGACCAGCAGGGGCAGTAGCAGAAATATGTCACTTGAGGCACTCTGGGCAACATTGCTCAGAAATGATTGTGGGCCACACCAGACAGCTCCAGTGTTTCTTGGCGTGCCCCAAACTACTACCCAAATGTTGATCGGCCTCTTAAGTTAGAGGCACTGTTTTAATGGTAAGGTAGCTTTCCACCCTGACTTCTCACTTCCCTCCTCTCTGCTTTCACTTTTCAGCTGAAGGGAAAATGTTGAGTGGGTTGTAGGGTTTTCTTGTTTTTTTGTTCTTCGGAGAAAATTATGTGTAGTTAAAGTCTGTTACCAGTGCTGGGAAATGGCTTTTCCCAGGGCTTGAGCTTGATTACAGGTGTATCAAAAACTCGGCACAGATAAATTTCTTTTATCTATATGGATAATGCAAGATGTCAGCTTCTAAGACTGGATAAACTCAATGTTTTCATGTTTGCCAAGAAATGTCCTCTGCCTTGTCGCTCTCATTACAGTAAAGATTTTCTTGGGGATGGGAAGCTTATGTAAAATTCCAGGTCTTAAACTTAACAAATAGATAATGCTTTTAAACAATAATGCTTTTTAACAATACTGTGGTTTAAAAACCTTGAGTGAATCCAAAGATCATATTTCTGCTGACTGAACTGTCTGGTACTGTGACCTGTGTGTAGAGAACCAGTTTTGACTTTTCTTTTCTGTACTCTTTTAATCAAAGGGTAGCCTCTGAGGGTAAGTGACTAAGACTTCTCCTCTGCTGCCCAAGCGCTATGGTGCAGGGATAGCTGCCGTCTTCAGTCAAACCAAAGCAGGCTCTACAAAGAGAAGGCTGACTCTAGACAGGTGGTATATACATGATAGTATAGTAACTGGCCAACTGCTTCTTGTGCTTATGCTTTTTTACTTTTATTTTTATTGTGCCTTTTGATTGTTGTATATTTGATAACCTGATTGTTGAAGTCCTGAAAGATTTTTTAATGTTATATTTCTATAACTGTTAAAATGATGTATTCTTAAATGGTAAAGCAAATTAAGGTGGGATTTAAGTCTTAAAGGGATGAATTAACACAACAAAACGTGAAATCTAGTTTCCGTTTGTAACTAGTTAAACATTTGAGTAGATGCGTGAAGCTTGGAGTCAAATGTAATACTTGGGACTTAGAGAAACTTCCCACTACCAGATTTCCCAGTTCCATTGCATGAAGTACTCGAATGTGAGTTATGGGCTACTCATTACCAGTTTTCTACTTGTTACAAAAGAAGGGGTAGGTGAGGAGGAGGGGCAAAATTACACCAATTGAGAAATGGTTCAGATGTTAAAATAACATGTTTGTGTACTGATGCTTGTTGCTTCCAGTACCTGAAAACTGGTGGATATCCAGTATAATTGTTTTTTGAAATGTGTGTTTTTTACAACATTACCTTTTTCTTAAAACATTGTGACAAGGATTCATTTCCTCATGTGTCTGATTCTGAGCCCACAGGGAAAATACGCAGAGGCCAAACTTGGAAGCAGGCGTGTTTTTCAATTTGGCAAATTAGAAAAAGGCTGTATGACTTCCAGATGTTTGAAGCACCGCTTTTCTTTATTGCTTCTTTTGCCAAAAGGTTTGTGCTCTCTTTGTAGTGGGACAAGAAAAGTAGGCTTTGAAGTTCCTTTCTCCCAGAAAGGTGAGCTGATGTTTAGCATTGCTTCTCTGGGGTAGCAGTTGCTCTTCGTATAAACGAGAATGTAAGACAACTGGGGCAGGTGGGAGTTTGATACTCTTGGGATTCAAGTTCCTTCTGTCTGTCCTGTGTAAACTGGTTACCAGCGTTTGGACTGTGGTCTCTGGTTTGGATGTCTTGGGGGTTAGTGAATCCTTGTATACTGGGTACCCACATGGTTAATTACTACTTTCAGAAAGCGTATTATTTTGAGGACTTTCTATTGTGTCTGGTTTTAGCTTTTCCCCATCTGATACTTTGCTTGACATATGTGCTCAAAAATCTAGATCTTTCTAAGCACGTCAGCTGACAGATTCAGAGGAAGTTACATTGTGTATTTAAGATTTAGAAGAATAATGCTTAAGTGTACTGACTGGAATATATGCAATATTTTACAGTTTTCTCATTCTGTGAATATTCATTTTAAGCAACCTTACTGAAATGGGACACTTTGGAAACCGTATTTCATGTGCCAAAGAGGAGACTGCCTGAATACTGAGTATTCTCCTGAATTGATGTTCGCAAACACCCTGATTTCTTCTATGGCTGCTTTTTGCATCAAAAAGATTTCTGTTGTGGATGGAAAATAATGCTTCTGAAGGAAAAGGGACCACTTAAATCTCCAGTGGAAGTTGACGCGTGCTGAAGTGGACTGCATTTTCATGGGAGAACTACTACAGGAGCTGCAGCTTTCAGCAAACCATCTGGGCTCAGCCCTATTGCAGAGAAACATGTGAACCTAAAAGTCTATAACTGAGTACTTCAGATTATATTGTGTGTTGTCTTGATGAAAATAACTTGTCTATTGCATGAGAGCAGGCCAGTAGAGATCCAGAAGGAAAAGTGAAGTTAAAATTGGTTCTCTTTTCACAACTGAATTTTCAGCAGCCAGTCAGTCAATCAAACTTAATTTCTGTCACACATCCCTCCCCTTGAGGGATTTTTATTTTTTTATTATTTTTTTTTATATTTTTTTAGTAAAGTCACACAACTTTTCTTTAGATTTACAGGAATATAATGTTGAAGTCTAGTAACTGAATGCAGAAAGAAATAGTCCTTGTAGAAGTAAAAACAAAAACCCAAAAGCCACCAAACAACTTTTCAGTGCCATGCAACTTTGCCGATATCCTGTCTTTCAGGAATTACATGAATGATAGCCTGAGAACAGATGTCTTTGTAAGATTCCAGCCAGAAAGCATTGCCTGTGCATGTATTTACCTCGCAGCTAGGACGCTGGAGGTGAGCATACAGTTCCATTAATTTCAAGTTTGTTAGTTTTTTTTTTTTAATGGAAGCAGACAAATGAGCATGTCTTCCCCTCCCTTCCAGATTCCACTTCCTAATCGTCCACACTGGTTTTTACTCTTTGGAGCAACAGAGGAGGAAATTCAAGAAATCTGCTTAAAAATTTTGCAACTCTATACTCGGAAAAAGGTTTGCTGCTTTTTCATATTGTGAGCCTTCATTAAAGGCTGCCGCTTAGAACATGAGTTGGAAAACCTTATTCCATTTGAAACTAGCTGCAAGACATTAAGTGGAACAGGATAGTAGTCACAGTGTCTGGGTCTCTTTAGATTCCCCGCCCTGTAAGTGAGTAAGCAGAAAGTCTAGTTTATTAAGTTTTGTTGTGAGTGGTGCTCCTGTGTTGGCAGGTTGATTTATCTGACCTGGAAAGTAAAGTAGAAAAGAAGAAATTGGCTATCGAAGAGGCAAAAGCACAAGCTAAAGGTCTAGTACCTGAGGGAGCCCCAAGTTTGGATAACACATCAGGATTTTCCCCGATCCCGAAAAATGGTAAGCAGTGGATAACTTGGTTTTTAGTAACTCTTTCTCATCTTAAATGTGTATTTACCCTTTTGGGATGTATATACAGTGTGGTTGGTTGGTGTTTGTCGTTTGTTTTTTTTTAAGCTGGCTTCTAGCAACTATTCAAATGGCAGAGTTTGAGTAGCACTGTAACTTTGTAATTTCTTGAAACAGATAAAGGCTAAAATCAGTCTAAAATTAAGGCTAGTTTGAACATATCGTACAGGGTCTTGCTTTTACGTGGTTTTGCAATAAACTCGAACAAATACTTGCAATTGGCATGTTACACTAAAGCAATATTAAAGCAGAGGTATGATTAGGAACTGTGGCAGAGTAGTATTTTTGGGTGACAGGCGGTGAGTATTTTCCTGCATACTTGGTCTAAAGTTTCCAGTCTGGTGCATGCCTTGCCTAGAAGGTAACGTTTACCATCTTCCTCCTCAGTTTACCTTTAAAAAGATAGTAAATAATAGGCAGGAAAAGGAAGTTGCTGTTCTGCCTTTGCCTTTGAAAGCAATGTGTTACTATTGCAGTTAACTCCCCGGTGTTACCTCAATATTTGGCAGAGATGTTTCAGATTAGCTTCTGCCTTGTGCGAGCTTCCTCAGATCTGCCTCCTGCGGGTGGCTGTGTGTGCAGGCGTGTGTGCACGTGTATGCAAACTGCATGTATGCAGTACTGGTTATTACAAAGATGATGAAACGGGGCGAGGGGAGGCTTCAGTCCTTCTTTCAGTCACTACCCATACTTTCAAAATAAGGTAACAAAGGCTTGTTTTTCTAGAGTCTCCAAAAGAGGTTAAAGGAAATAAACCTTCACCGCTACCTGTTCAGGCAATGAAGAATGCTAAGAGGAAAACAGAGGGAGCAAAAAGAATGAGTTCAAATAGCCCAGTAAACGGGTAAGGCTTTCATAATGAAGATGCTTATTTTTTCCCGTTACGACTTTAAGCAAAATAACTTACTGTTCATTGTCTCTTGCAGCGTTCAGAAAGGAAGAGAAAGCAGAAGTCGAAGTGGAAGTAGAGATCAAAGTTATTCAAGATCTCCATCCAGATCCGCATCCCCTAAGCACAGGTACATACTATTGTAAAAGAAGGGTGTGCTATGAGAAGCTCCCGGACTAAAATTTCCCAGAGTGAGCTTTGGTAGTTTCTCAACAAGAGAGGCTGTGAAATAACGTAGCAGTGTGTGCTGCTAGTTAAGGCTTCAGAAACGTTATGGCTAAGAGCTGTACTGTCTTGGCTCACAGGTCAAGGGAGTTGCAGTGTCCAACCTTGTCGTACCTGGGCCAAATAGATTGAAAGGAGAGTGTAAGCGTATTGGGACACTTTTGAATGTCAGCCTGTTTCTTGGTGACATATGTCCCACCAAGCAGCAGGGTTTATTTGTTGTTTTGGGGTTTTTTATGTTTAAAGCTGGGTGTTTGTGGCTACAACCTTTGTTTTTACTGAACTGTATTGGGGTAGTTAAAGCGTTTTCTGCAGTAGATGAACTCTTAACTCCAGCCTTCGTCTCATTGGCAGTCGCTCCTGCAAAACCGTAACTTATGAAATACAAAATGATCCTGTTTTGTATGTAGTTGAGAGTAGTAGAGGTTCATGCTCCTCAGTCAAAGCAAGTTTGACTTAATTCAACAGTCTGTGTCCCATTGGGTTTGGGTGTGTACTGATAAAAGTATGGCTTTGTATTAACGTGTTGAATTTAATGAAACATCTTTAAAATCTGCTTTCTGTACTGCCTTGGGCTTTGAAGTTCAGCATATAACCATGCTACCCACAGAGGGGTAATCAAAGAGACAGAAAGGAGCATTAACTCCAAACTTGGGCGTTTTGGTGACGGTATTACTGTAACTGAAGCAGGAGAAGGGGTTTTACCTTTTGTCTTGTTGGCAGCACTTGAATCTGGCAGCTACTCTTAGCTGTTCACGCATGTTTTCTAAGTAGTGAAGGAAAAAGATCTAAAACTGAGATGTGACTACTATACTCCAAACGGATTTGAGTTTCTACAAATCAGGATTTCTACAGTAACCAGATGTGATCAAGTCTGGGACACAAGATTACTTCTCATGGGATACTGAACAACAGAATACAGAACCTAGTGCCTGGTCTCAAACTGTGCTTGCACACCTTGGCTCTATAAGTGAGGAGCATTTGTCTATCTGGTACTTTAAGTGTGTGTGTATGTATGTATTGTGACTGCGTTTAGGTGCTAATAGTCATGTAGAGTAATTCTATTTAATATTAAGAAAATCATATGCTTTCTCTCCTGTTCTTTTTCTCTTTCCATAGGAAAAGTGAAAGTTACTCCACATCAAGCGGCTCCAAATCCCACAGCCGTTCTAGGAGCCGCAGTGACTCTCCTCCAAGACAGTTCAACCACAGTTCTAGCTACAAAGGTTCCAAGGTGAGAAGTTACAAGAAATCAAAAGACTACAAGTACTCAACGCACAAACCACGGAAATCACGCAGCAGGAGTTCATCACGTTCCAGGAGCCGATCCCGGGAGCGCTCTGACCATTCGGGGAAGTACAAGAAGAAGAGTCACTACTATAGAAATCACAGGCATGAGCGTTCACGCTCCTATGAGCGAGCAAGTCATCGCTATGACCGAGACCATCCTGGCCACAGTAGGCATAGGCGATGAATAAAGTAAAAAGTTCTTTCCTTTGGAATTTAAGCAGTGGAGCTCTTCCCCATTTGGTCTTCGCGGCATAGGGTTAACCTGGCTTGTAAACCACCTAGCTTGAGTAATGTCCATTTTGCTGGCAGTTCTGTACTTACTATCATGAATCCAAAGGAAAGATACTAACAAAACAGGATGATGTGAAAGACTTAATCTGATAAATGTCTTGGTGACTGTTCTGCTGGAGCGTCACCTAATAACACTGCAGAACTTGTCTCTGGATGCTCCTATGCCTGCTCTTTAGTAATTTGCATACCGTAGTGCAGTGGAGTGTTATTTGGGACTTCCAGTTCTGCAAGCAGGACCTCCATTGCTCAGTAGTCGGAATACTGTGCTGAACAGTCCTTCCCTGTGGAACTAGAAGGCTCAAGACAGTTCATAAAAACCATTGGAGTGGCTTGGTGCTAACAAAGCTGTCTTTTCATACTGACTCAATTATGTTGTACAAATGTAAGGTGACTTTTTTAGAACTGTTGCCTATATTAGGTTATACATGTGTATATATATTTTGCAGTGTTACAGTACAGTATGGGAGTATGGCCTTACTAGCCTTTACACTTTATCCACAATGTAAATAAGCATTTGTTTAATACAGGTGGAAGATATATACAGAAAATTCAAAACTTGAATTCTATCAAAAGACTTGTGTAGAAAATTCTGATAAATGTGAAAGTATTTAGCTCTGTGTATTGAGAGTAGTATATTTTTATCTGTGCAATGCTGTGTGCAGGCCACCAGCTCATAAGACATTTCCTATATATTCATTTTAAGTGGTTTGAAATTCTTTACTCAGGATCTTTGACACTGAAGAATTAGTAGTTTGTCAATCTGCATGCTTGTCGAAGAACAGAGCATTTAAAAAAAAAAAAAAAAAAAAGCAAAAACTCCACAGCCCAGTAGTATCAGTTCTAGTGGTATATCTGAGCTGTTACTCTCATGCTCCCTAATTTCATTAAAGTATTTGATTTTCTATCAAATTTACTTGATGGTAGTTTCTTATGAGCTATACCACTGTGCCTACTCATAAGGAAAGAAATTTGGTGCTGAATGAAGAGATTGTCAAATTGCAGTAGATTTAAGACTAGCGTAAGTTGTTGCACCCTGAATACAGGTGTAGTAGGTGTCGTGCTGGGCCCGTCCTGGAGGAGCAGGCTGGTGTACGGTGTGAAATAGGGTGCTGTTATTTGAACCTTTCAAGCTCTGTGAGTAGATCTTACTAGAACCACTGCCTGCTGGTTAAACTTCCTCTGTCCGCTCTGGGGGAAGCAAGATGCATGAGGGATTTTGTAGTCAATCTTTTAGGTGCCTCAGTGTGACAGTGACTCTTCTAACGCTTCTTTTAAATCCAGACCCATCTCTTGGCAATTTTCTTAGTTTTTAATATGGCGGCAAGGCAGCTGAAAGCACTTGCAGTCAGCCTTCCTCTAGCCAACCTCTAGTCTACCAAATTTCCTGAGCTGGAGGTTCCGTAGGATTATTCTGTGTAATTACCAGTGGATGTGTTTGTGAACTTGACTACTCTTTGTTTGAACTGTGATGGTTTTGACCTCTGCAGCTCCCTCTGACGTTCTGTTCCATAACGGATTTCCTGGTCACCTTGCAGTAGCAGTAGTTGGTTTGTAGTTCTTTGCCATAGTTGTGATGACATCTCAGCTGAGAAAAGACAACTGATTGAGACAGGCAGCAGATCCAAGGAAGGCTCCGTAGAGCTCCAGCAGAGCACTGCTATGGAACGGAAGTTAATCTGTTCCTGAATCGGTGAACTACCTGCCTTAACTTGATCTTTGCACACAGATGGAAACTAACTATTTCATACTTGGTATGCTAAATAATTGAGTAGAAGTTAAAGTAGCTCAGACATAACGTGATACAAAAAGTAACTTTGATCTATTCAAACGTGAACAACCTGAAGTAAGTGTTCTCTAGAGATTCCCCATTTTATGTCTTTCTAATTCTTACTACCTGGATGTTACTTGGAGCAAGTCAACTTCAAATCTCTGTTTAGTAATTCCAGTTCTAAAAGGTGTAGTCAGTGTCTCCCCGTTTAACTACTTCATTCTGCCCCGGATGCTTCCAGAATTGCCTCTTGTCCAGTTCCTGAGGTAAGCAACATATGGGGAGGCAGGTTTCACAGCTGCAGCCTCCTCCAGAAAGACTTTAGGAGGAATTACTTTAGTTAAGTCTCAGTTCTGCTGGCTACAGACGTGACCTTCCTCCAGTGCAAGTAGCATGGACGAGGATAAAGGTAAGACCCAGGCTACGTACACTTTTCTACATGAACGTAATGTCACTTGGCATAAAAATCGGCATCTGTGTCCTATAAACTACTGTGCTTATGTACAGCGCCCGATAAATGTACTTTCTAGTACACTTGGTAAATCTGGAGAGGAAAAAACAAAGGAGAAAGTGTGTATAGTTTTACATTAAGGTGGTTTTGTTCCAAAACAAAAGGGATTATATCACAGGATTGAAAGACCTCCTGTTCTAGGAGAGAACAATCTGTCTTTAGCAGCAAAAAGCCCAACGCAGCTAGCTACGCAGGATGTCCTGGTGGTGAGGTGGGGTTGGGAGAAGATGCCCAGAGTAGCTAGAGGAAATGCGGGGGCTGATTGGGTGGGTGGGAGTAGATGTGCCTGTTTAACAGAGGTGTGCCTGTTTTCACTCAGGTGGTACGGCGCGCAGCTGTAAGGGCTGGCAAATGTATTGTTTTACTTTGCTCAGGAAGTCCAAGATGAAAGAGTTTTCTCACGTGTTTGGTAACTAGGGGCATTTACAAGCAAGTAGTTTTTCGGCATTTACTGTGCCGAGTGCTAAGAGCTGTAGTATCGGTCATATTTCACCCTGAAAATAACTGGCTCAGCATTCCAAAGCAGTCATTCCAGAGTTTCAATTTAAGCTCTTTGCAGCGGTCAACTTACGAACCTTTGAATTAAATCCCTGTTTCCTTGAAGTTGGGAATCCTGGGCATTCTGTTAGTTTAGCCACCTTTCCAGCTGATACCAAACATAACATCCACCAATCCGCAAAAGTCTGGAAGGGAACGTGCATTTCTCTACCTTAAAATGTAGCTGGCAGAGAGCAGCTGTATTTCATGAACAGTAATGGCTCTGCTCCTCTCCACCTGTACAATAACGAACAAAGGGCACAGGTGACAACTGCAGTCGGTCCCTGGGCGATGACAGAGCTGTGGTTCATGAGAACCTCGCCCCTTGACCCACGGAAAAGAGAAATGGGCGAGGTGCCACTTCTTGGGGCGTGAAAATGTTTCGAAGTGGATGAACATCTGTGGCAGTTTTGATGTGAGCCACCCCCAGGGAACTGCTGAGACAACTTGGGGAAGCAAGTGCTGCTGACAACAAGGAAGCCAGAAGTCCAATTAACGGAGCTGGCAGATTATTTTTCTTCTCTTTTTCTTGGCACCAGTTTGCATTTGTTCGCTTAATCTTCTGTAAGCACAGTTCCTGTGGCAGGTGTCAAGTGGATGTGATCGGGCACGACGCTGTAAAAGAGCCTGGAAAAAAAATCAGCCCAGTCTTTGGAGAAGCGTTAAGAAATACTGTATCAAGTAATTTCTTCGTTCCTCAGGTATGCTTAGCGCCCTCTTGGAACCCTACTGCTTGTCTCTTTACATCTGGTTAAGTGTCTGTTGCTTTTCCCAAGGTTTCCTGCAGAGCTGAAGGGAACCGGGCTGCTTTTTGTCTTACTAGAAAAACCATCCTCCGCCTTGGGGTCATCTGATGGGGTAGCGATCAGAAACCACTGGTGTCTGGCAGAACTGTGGTGGTTCGTGTGAAATGATACGAAGAGACAGTCTCTACCCTAACCATGACTTGGGAAATGACCCTTCCGTCGGGCGGGCAGGCAGGCAGTCCTGCACATGAGCTCTTGGGGAACTCGTCAATTCTTTGGTGAAGAGCTTGCTTCCTCAACCTCTGTGTTAATTTCTACTTGTTTTCCTAGTAAGCGGAGCTGAAAATAGAATAAATGGTGTGCAATCCTGCTCAGACGTTATTTCGCTATTTACCAGTGAAATTTTACGGTTGAAGGATCAACTGTTCTTTTCTGGATACCATCCGTGTTTGATCTAGCGCGTGTTTCGGGAGGCTGGAGAAGCGGTGCAGGCCTGCATTGTGCCAATCCTTGAATCCAGACATAGGCTGTGTCCTTGTAGTCAGAAAATGTGACACCCCCTGACCTGACTAGTTCCTCCGGCTGAAATCTGTGCGTAGTACTTTCCGTGTTCATTGTACTGAGACCAATCTTTTTTTCTTTGGCTCCCCCCAGCTGCCAGCGCTTGTGACTATCACAGATCATACAATATTTAGAATTTGTTTACAACCTGTAGTCCTATTGGGTAAGAAATTGTGAGAGAATCTAAGTTTTCATTTTAAGAAACCAGAAAAATGTCTAGTTCTCATGGATACACAGATTACAAAGCACAGAAATCCATGCGTATCAGGCTGAGTAAACAGAAGGCGAGGAGTTTAGGTTTACCTAAAAGAAAAACCAAACCCACCGCATTTTTATGTACATGCCCACATGTACAAGTCTCGGCTCTTAAGGTGAGTTACGACTTCTGTTTTCTGAACGGCTGAAGACTGCAGGATGGCTCTCGCTCATCAGAACATCGCTCGGGTTACTCCTCTGTGATCTCTCTGAATCTGGCGTTCGCATGTAATTCCTTCTGCCTGGAGAGAGGCCGTCTCACTGGCCAGAAGCTTTGAAGGGACAGCGCTTACTGAGACCTCTGACTTAGAAGGCGCTACAGTTTTGGCCAGGCTATGGTTCTCTTTCCTCAGATAAAGCCGCCTACCTGCTCTAGCAGCGCAGCCTGGTCCTCCTTCCTTCATGGGAAATAATCCTCCAGGCTTCCCGGCTAACGTTTCCTCAGCAATGGACTCCACAGCTGCAGATCCAGTGTGCAGGTGGAAGGTCACACCCTCAGATCTCTGTTTGCTCTCTACCAGCAGAGGGTCAGCCAACAAAGCTTTCCTTTTTCAGGCGAGCGCCTGAAGAATTATTTCCTCAAATACGCAACTTCTAGCACGGTGTGTGCCAGGCAGGTGGTGACCAAGAGGGAAAGATCCCCCCTCTTGGGTGAGCCAAAGGTAGGAAGCCAGTGGCTGACACGATCAAAGAATAATTGAATAAACAACAAAGCTTGGAGTTTTTAAGATCAGATGAGAAAAGCAGGTTTCACTTCCCTGTTAGACGTTTGGGACGGAGGCTTTAATTGAGACTTACCATAAGCTTCAGTGCAGACGTTGTCTCCGTGCAGAGCTGGGTGCTGGGCCCTTTGCACCTCTGGAAAATCAGCGTGGTGGGAAATGGGAAAGAGGTTCAGCTTCTGGCAGAAACTGTCCACCTTCGTTGCCGAGCTCACTGCGTACGCCTCTGGAGTCTGGCCAGGAATTTTGGAGTCCATTGCCACCTCTGAAGCCCACTTAAGATCTGATATGGCCAGGTCTGAAATACCGAAACTGGTCATGGCTTTGGTTTATGGCAGAGTCTTTTGTGCGCCTCTGTTTGTGAAGGGTGGCTACTCTTCTCTGTTTGACATCCCCGAGTCTGCTCAAACTGAATTCTGCTGACTTGAAGGCTGTGGATTGGTGATTCAAAACCATTTAGTTAGAGGGAGTGTCTGTTTTAAACCTTATTTTGCTTGTTTTGCCCACAGCCTATCACTCTAATAGTGATTTATAGTTCCACAAACACTATAAATATCCTGATATTCTGATATGTTCTTGGGTGGAAAAAGTGCCAGAGACCTGCAAAAAAAAAAAAAAAAAACAAAAGCCAAAAAAAAAAAAAGCCTTGCAGCATGTCCTGCACAAAGAGAGACCAAAGCCAAAGAGGAGCTGAATGAACGGAGCTCGCTCAAATACAGAAACTGCGGGTAGCAATTATTTAAGAGTATTGCTTCACCCAAAATAAAAGCAGTATTTTCTCCCTTGTCCTGCCAGGTAACTCCTCTCCAAGGGTTGCCAGGCAACCCTTGTTTTTATTGTCTTTAAATGGGGGTGAGAAATTACTAAGCAAAGCAATTCTGCCTCTGGTGTATCCAACTCAACTCAGGTTGAGCTAAACAGCATTAAAATGTGCCTTGTTGGACTGCGGTTAGCAGCGTGCTGAAATCTGGACTTTACTTCAAGAGTTAGACAAAAGCAGGCCTGGAGGAACTAGCTTCCAGCACGCGGAACTTGGTTAAAAGCCACGGCAAACAGCAGCAGGAGCTGGAAAGGAGAGGGTGAGGGCTGAGGTGAGAAGATGTGACTGGGGCTGGCCAGATTCACTTTGGATGCTCTCCGACTCCAGCTGGTGGAAGAGAATCCTCATACGCTGGACCTGGTTGCTGTTCGCCATCCGCAAGCAGCTCTGGGCAATGTTTCTCTCGTATGTGCCTTGCTGTGTCTTGTAACTTGGATGTCTTCCTCCTGTCACTCAGGAAAAATGCCTTGCTGATGGGATGGGACCTTGCTCGCCCAGGGGAACCTGTCACCGGCTCTCTGCGTGACCTCGGGCTATATGACTTGGACCCTGTCCCAGTTTCCCCGTCTACAAAAGCAGAGGAAGAGCTTTTTTAGGAACACCTTGGCGCTTTGAAAAGCATTATGTGGCATTCTGTACAGGTCAGTTCTGTCTCGTGTATCTAGACAATAGCAGGGGTTTTCAGTATATGTTTTACTAAGAAAAACATCTTCCTCTAGTTAGACTGTTTCTTCCCCTTCGAGAACTACTCTGAATTCCAGACAAGAGACAAGCACCCTGTGCGTGCAGTCCTAGCTGCGCTCTGGCAGTGACAAAACTCCCCTTGACTCCAGTGAGGTTTGACCCTTTTTGTTCTACCGGTCTCCACAAAAGCTGCTGGCCGAAAAATACTCCAAATGGCTCAATAAAGAGATACTTCCACTGACAGGGCCCAGACTAGAGGAGGAACGCAGCAAGGAACGCCCGAGAAATCGACGGCAAATAGCAGTGAAATAGCGTTAAAAAGTGACAGTTACGGATTTAATCTGCAGTCAGCAACAATCACGTTTGATTGCAAGTGCAGCACCACGCACGGTGTAAAGCGCCTCACGGCTGTCTCCGACGTCTCAGGTCAGCAAAGTTGCGCCGTGATTACACCAACCCTGATGACGGCCCTCCCGCGCCGTGCAAGGGGTGCCGCGGGCCGCCTAGTGCTTGCGTACCGAGCAGCGCGTGCACGCCAACGCCAGCCCAGAGGCTGCCGGTCCCAGTGCCGCCGCTGCGGGCTTAACTCGCATGCGCAAAATTCCAGCTATGCCTGGCAGCCCTGGCGCTCACATGTGCTGACAGCAAGGACTGAATAAATTACAAGCGCGAAGAGGTCGACTAAGCTGTCTTATGCCTGACAGGGATTTTTTGAAAATTCTCCAAAACCAACAAAATGCTGTTGGTAATGCACAAAGAGAATTCTGAAATTAACACAGTACGCATGGGAAGGAAGGTAACTGATTAAACCTCTTGGAAAAGAAGAGAGTGCTGGTGTTTGTGAGACGGAGAGACACTTCTGGAACGGAGCTTTATTTGGAAGAAAGGAGAAAAACACAGGTATCAGTATACGGGGCAGCCTTACTGCTGGCTTGTTGCCACATCTGATCTTTGCACAAAGACCAGCTTTTCCGTGGAGAAACGGTGGAATCTAATTCCGTGGATCCCCTTTAAATAAGGGGTGATGGATCCACACATTCATTTTTACATAGGGCAGAGCAATAACCAGACATTTATTTGATTGTTTTGATGCTCTGGAACCCCTCGATATTAGCCATTGATTTCTCTGTGTGTGTGTGAGAGCGCGAGCAGTTTACATTCCTTCCAAACCTCCGGGCAGGTAACTGGCCTCTTATCTGCAAGGCTGAGCTGAGCTGCAGCGTGTGACCACCACCCATCGCTGCCAGGGTAGTCAGCCCCTCCGGCAATGCTATTTCCAAAACCACTGAACCTTGAGAGGATGGAGGGATTGGAGGCCCTTCCCGAGGGTCCTGTTGTGGAGTATCGCTCACAGTTGAGCCATTCGTGGCATGTGAGTTCCTTTCAGTCTTCAGAGCACTTTTCCTTATGAAAACAATGCCACGGAGCCAGCAGAGGACACGATACGGAAATACTAAGAGGGATATTCATACTGCCTGAGAACGTAGATACCAAAGCTGGAGAATTCCCTCTCTTTCCTGTATAGCTGATGGGTACAGACAGGTATTTGAATTTCAGTTAGACTTCTCCAAACCCTGCTGTGGACAAGTCTGTCTCTCTCAGAACTACACAGGAGCAGCAGCTGCCTAAACAATGTACCAAACCCTGGCAGTGTGAACACACTCTTGCTCGCTTGCCCAAGTTGACGAAGTTGAGGTATAGCCAGGAGCTGAGGTGCGATTCTCTAAATCCCAGCTGAGCCTCTGACCCTTGCGAGGGCCCAGGGAGAAATGGACTGGCCCAACTATCCTTCGCAAGCAATAGGTGGCACTTGCATCCAGCGGCGCCTCCAGCCTCCTCTGCTACCAGCACTACCAGCTGGTAAGAAGCCAACGTGACTTCAAAATGAACGTAGCTAACCCAGCCTCAGAGGACAGAGAGAACAATATTTCCGTGGGACTAAGTCAGGGAGAGCACAGTGAAAGGCAATGGCATTTTCAACACCTCCTTAGGAGTCCTCAGAGAGCCGACGCAAAGCCTGTTCAAAGCAGAAGAAATCCTTCCATCGTTTGCCCTACCTATCGCTGTAATGGCACTCCTTGGCGTCATGAGACCGGCAATAGACTGGTGGCTTCCCTCTGTGGGCCTGAGGTATAACATCCCCAAGTCCACACTCTCCCCTTCAATGTCCATTTCTTTCAGGTGGTCTGAGAAAGGTGTTGCACGATGCAGCTTCTCGCGTTCACAGCAGGGAAAGGGACAGCACGCACACAGCATGAGTCCTTCCACAGGGAACACGTTAAACCGACCTGTTCACGCTCGTTAGCTGAGCGGTGGTATTTGGCCGTGCGTGCTCTCCGCTCATTACAGATGTGTTGTGAAATGCGGCAGCTTAAACAAGAGGTGTCCATACCAGCCCATTCTATCTCCTGTTTGTCACAAGGAAAGAATATATTTATGGGCGCTCACCACAGCCCCAGTAATACACAGCAAAACCTGAAAAGCTGCAGCAAATCTGTTGAGCCCAGTATGGAGACAATGGTCCCGGCTCCTCGCTGATACGCGTGGGTAACCCCGCACGGGAGTGAATGAGGCTGGGATGATTTTCGCACAAAGGCCTGGCTGCTTGTCTGTAACTACAAATGAGCAAGAAACGATCCGAAACCCACGGTGGCCGTTTCCCTTTTGGTGTGAGTCACCCATCAGGCAGAGTGCAGTAACTGGGTGTGGTCCCCCGACCTATGGCTCCGTGTCCTCAAGAGAAATCATTTCACCTCTGTTCCCCAGCAGTGAAGTGGAGCCAGCCAGGCTTGACACTTCTGTTACGTATTTTCAGACTATCAGGGAAAAGGGCGATTTACGATGGATATTGCCCTTATGGTTTGTTTGCAAAGTGCTGTGTATGTTTACGATGCCGTAAAAAGGCAATGGAACACGCGATTAAACACAACATACTTTGTATGTAAAACTTTTGCAATGGGCAAACACTGTATCCGCTAAACCTTGGACTCAGATTCCTGCTTCATGTTCAGAACCCACCGAATCTTTTGGCTCAGTGGGAGCCTGGGACTCTCCGCTTGCTGAAGGAAGAGC